ACACATACACACACATACACACACATACATACATACATACGGACAGACGGACAGACGGACAGACAGACAGACCAGACAGACAGACAGATACTCAGACATCCACACATGTATATACACCCTTTCTTTAATTCTCTGTTGAATTATATATTATTCGTTCATCTATTAACTTATGTATTTTGTTATTATTTGTGTAATCATCTGCGTGTTTACCATTTTTGGTTCTTATACGTATGTGTGTACAGATACTTATGCATCTTCATCTATGTAGATTTACATATGCATATACATATAAATATGCACATACCTATACGCATATATACACGCACGTATGTGTGTGTGTGTATATATATACATGCATACATCGTCGACACGACTTCGTCCGAAGCAGGAGCAACAGGAGATCCATACATACATACATACATACATACATACATACAGATTTACATACATGCACGCACACACTTACATATATATGTATGTATTTATGTATGCATGCATGCATGGATGTATGTATGTATGTATGTATGTATGTATGTTGGCTCTGTGGTTTCCCAGAGTTGTTGTGTGAAAGATTGTTGTCTTTTCTATTCTAAATCTCATTTCAGGAGGCGTAAGAAGTGGATCTAGTAAGGCTGCGAAACGAACGCGCAAAATTTGCCGAATCGCAAGGCAAAGCTCTGAAATTAACACGTGGATTTGAGTGTTCCGAGTCTAGTATTGCAGGGCCTCTAGTAAGCCCATTGCAGGGCCTCTAGTAAGTCCAATGTGAAATCCGGACCGTGCTGGGTGGAAAACTAAACAACTTCCACACGAGCTGGGACAAGCAAAAATGGACTTTGCTGGGTTCGCTGTCTGCCCTCCCTCCCAAAAATGCCCCCTAAGACTACACAAGGCCTCCCTCATATGCACCCCGCATGCACGGAATACTTCGCGCAAAATCCTCGTATGTTTTCATAGATGTCGGCGAAGTTGCTGTTGAAGTTTCGGTGGAATTTTCTAAGGAAGGAATCCCCTCTTACAAAATTCCGCGCGTTTTTCAACTCAAAGTTCGCGCCATACTGCGCACGTATTTTCAAAACATAAACTGCGCACAGCCAACTTCGCGCTGCAAACTCCGCGCGACGAACTTCGCGCGGCAAACTTCGCGGGGCAAACTCCGCGCCGGCAACTTGGCGCGCAAAACTCCGTGGAATGAATTTCGCAAACAAAACTTCGCGCTAGCAGCCTCGTGAACAGCAAACCTGCAGAACCCAAGCAAACCCAGCTCGGCTCTGGCATGCGACCCTCCCAAATTTTCTTACAGCGCCACCCCCCCCCCTCTTCAAGTTCCCGACGGCTGCAGCATGTTTCTTGTAAGGGGCCCTGTATAGGGCCCAACACTACTGCTCAGAAAACAGGTTAACAAAGTTAATTATACAACTTTTGCACAAATTTCGCTCTGCGGACAATCGGCCCTAATGTATGTATGTATGTATGTATGTATGTATGTATGTATGTATGTATGTATGTATGTATATGTGTGTGTGTGAGTATATACATATATAGGTAGGAATTCAAGATTTGCCTAAACCTCTGCGCTACAACAACCCACGATTCGGCCTTCAGGAGGAGCTCATGGGCTTCACTCCTGGCAGTGCCGTCGGAATGTTTTTTGCCGTAGACCTCTGAGCTTTAGATTTTGGAGTTTCGAAGCTTCAACGGACTAAGAGGCTTGGGGTGGGACGCAGCTTAGGTAGTTCAGGGTCACTTTAGGGCCTTTAGGGTTTAGGGTTTAGGGTAGCCTCTCCTGCTGCGTTCACCCTGCGCATCACCAGTAGAGCCAGCCTGACTACAGGGCACGTTTCTGGGGCACGGGAAATCACTACTCTTACAAGGCATAACTGTATCTGTGAGGACAAGCAACAGTAAACTTAGACTCCTAAACCCTAAACCCTAAACCCTCCTTAGTCCACTGGACCTTCTGATCCTTTGGATCTGGCTTGGCGAAGGATGTGTAGACGAGGCTTTGGTCCTGGTGCGCAAAACCAGTTGGTGGTCCCAAGAAGTCTCTCAGGGTTAGGGCTTAGGGCGTAGGGCCTTTAGGATTAAGGGATTAAGGGTCTCAAGGTTTAGTTCTTTAGGGCTTTAGGGTTTGGGGCTTGGGGTTTTAAGGCTTAAAGGGGGCTTGGGATTTAAGGCTTTAGAAGTTCGGGCTCAGGGCGTTAGGGCCGAGCCTGAGGGTGGTAGCTTAGGGCTCTAAAGGGGAACCTCCTGCCACCGGACGTTGTGCATGGCATTGAAGCCCACCTTCTCCTTACATGGGAGGTTTTTTGGAAAAGCACGGGACCCCAAAACAGAGAAGGGTTTAGAGGCTTCTAGGGATCTTGCAGAGAGTGGGATCCTGATACTTCGGAGAGTCAGGGTTGGGGCCTCTAAACAAGGGTACCCTAAACCCTACACATCCCCCGCTTTCCCGCAGCCTCCCCAGAGAACCCCCCTAGACCCTGCAACTTTGCTCCGAGGATCCCCAGAGCGGAAGGGGTAGCTGAACCGCGCCAGCCAGTCATGAACAGGAGCCTAGGGGTTTCAGGGGTTTAGGGGTTTAGGAATGTGTGGGGGTTGGGAATTTGGGGGATTTTGCAGGGCAGAAGGGTTTGGATTAGGGTTTAGAGGAATTTAGGGTTTGGAGGAGCTTAGAGCTTCAGGGCTTAGGGAAATTGAGGGGCTTAGGGTTTAGGGTTTAGGCCCTAAGCCCTAAACCCCAAACCCAAAACCCCAAACCCTAAACCCCCAAACCCAAAACCCTAAACCCCAAACCCTAAAGCCTAAACCCCAAACCCTCCAGTCAATGAAGGGGCCGGGAGCCTTGTACTTCGCGTTCTTCACTTCCGAGGAGAGCCATAGGAACCTGAGCTCGGGGGCCTAAGCCTTGCTGCACAAATATATACATAGTATAGGGCTTAGGGTTTAGGGTTTAGGGTTTAGGATTTAGGATTTAGGGTTTAGGGTTTAGGGTTTAGGATTTAGGGTTTAGGGTTTAGGGTTTGGGGTTGAATAAACATATAATATACATATACATATAGAATACATATAATATACCTATAACACACATAGAAGATATGCGGTTAATGTCTGTTATGTTGAAAAAGAAGTTGCATATGCTGCAGCTACGAGACTCCTGAACCACCATGCGATCCAGGAAGGGATACCTGGCTTCCACGCCATGCACTCCAGCCACCAGCTCCTGCATCTGCCAGGGAGCGCCTACGAAAAGCCGAGAAGGAAGTTGCCATAGTGTTAGCTTGCTGCATCGGTATAGTCTTACATGTATGTATAAATATACTTTAGTAGACTTTAGTTCTCAAAGCTCACGGGCCTCCTTCATGAGGTAGTCCCGCTGCGTTCCAAGGAAGAAGGCCTCCCAGGGGAAGAGCGTACCCAAGTCTTCAGGGAAGAGACCTGAGCTGGCACGCCAGGAAAATCAGGTGCAGCGGCTTCTGCGTTCTTGAACAGAAACAGGTGGTTTGGTGCTCCGGAGAGTGAGCCTGTCCAAAGTAAGTGAAATAAATCCGAGAACTAGTTTCGATTATGATGACTATAGCGTTACTCAGATTCTGCAACAAGACTAATAACTCTGATTTTTCCAACATTACCATGTTACAACATAGGAGATACCGTAAACCCCCTTCGGTAAGAAATGATGCTGCATCTTCGGCTGCACTTGGATACGGAATCTTCATCTGGGGCTTTAGTGGTCTTTCTGGTAATTGGTCAACCCCCCCCCCCCC